CAGGTCTTTGTCGCGCAGCTGCTGCTCTCGGGCGAGGGGGACCGGCTGATCGCGGTGCAGTCGCTGATCGGCGCCATCGGGATGACGGCCTTCACCTACTTCCTGCCGTACGTGCTGCTCATCGCGCTGGCGCCCGTCCCCCTCGGCGCGGGGCGGCTCGCCTGGATGACGCTCAACATCGCCGCCGGGCTGATCGTGATGTTTGCCGGCCTCGCCTCCTCGGTCGAGGAGCTGTACTCCTCCTCCTCGGGCTTCTTCGACGGCGAGTGCAGGCTCGAGTACACGTACTCGCCCGAGTCGCCCGACGACCCGTGCTTCCTCTCGGGGCTGCCTCATGAGGCGGGGAGATGACGCCGCCGGCGCGGAGCAATGTGATGCGCTGAGCTCGGGCGTTTTTTTGTGACGGCAGTGACCTTTCCGCAGTCTGAACTCTGCGCCGATGGAGTTACCGTGACGCATCTGTGAGCTGTGATCGTTATATGTGTCGAGGGGGAACACACTGAGGCAGACGAGAAGAGGAGAGACGGAGAGGGAAGAGATTTCGCACGTTTGTCTTACCGGCCATTTTTTGCATTTCAAAAACCGCTCTGATCGGAGGGCTACGAAGTCTTCGTTCCACAGTTCTCAAGAGCTTCATTCAGGCTGTGTTGTGCTTCCCGTGGCACTTCCCAGGATTAGTGTCTTCTCTGTGTGCTTTTAGTGTAAGAGTAACTTACGGTAGTAAGAGCCGTACCCACCTTGCGGGGGAACACACCCTCTCGGGGACGGGCGGCCGGGTGGGGCTGCGGCTGGAGCTAGCATGGCTCGATAGAGCCGAGACCCCGTGTTGAGGCGGCGCTCCTGTGGGCGGCTGTTGAATCAGCAGGTTCGACCTCATCTCTGTGCATCTCTCCAGTATTCTCATCCCAGTCGTGTGGATGGACGTCCGTACGTCTCTTTGTGTTCCTCTCCCCGTCCGCCACAGCCGGAGACGCTCAGTCGCTGGCGGCCGCAGTTTTTTTGTGAGCTGCACAAGAAGTCGTGCGTCGCCGTGCGCAGGGCTGCTCTGTGCTTTCTTCTACTCCCCCTACTATCATATCATTCCCGACTTCCCGTCCTGCTACCACGCTACCAGAGAAAAGCTGAAACGCGAAGACGTGGAGACTGCAGAGCGCGTTCGACACACACACTATAGGGCTCCACGCACCGTCGGGTGCGTGGGCGGTAAAGAGGAGCCGCGCGGCGCGCGTGGCCCTTTTGGTGACTGACAAAAGTTATACGATCAGAACAGACGCTAGTAAACACTTCGGCGACCGTGGGCGCGCCGATACGCCCGAAAGAGTTGTAGCGATATACCGCAATCGCAATAGCCGTCCCAAATAGCAAACATATCCGCGCTCTCGGCGCGTATAGCCGCGTGCCGCGTAATCACGTAAAAGCAATCGAGTTGCTTTTACGTGACGTAATATCCCCCGGAGTTGTGGAGTGTGTGTGAATGCGCGACCCGCGCATTCGATCATGGAGAGGCTGCCCCTCAGGCTGGGCGTCACACTACACTATAGTGTACACGGAACGCGTTAATACGTCAAAACGGGATATAGGAGACATATGTTAATCATACTTGCCATACCCATTCCCGTTGCCCCCGGGGGGCCCCGGCTGTCGTCGGACTCGCCCGTGCGTTGAAGCGCGCGCGCGGCTCGCTCGAACCTGGTGGCTGGAGGTGGTGAAGCTGGTCAGTCGGGGTCATCGCTTTGGGTGCGGACCGTCGGCAAGCAGATGCTGCAAGTCGCGAAAGCCCTCCTCGTCGACGTCGCAGATGAAGAACTCGCCGCGGCGCAGCCGGAAGAGCTTGTCGCGATTCCGGCATATCTTGGCGTATATGCAAACCTCGAGGAAGAAAATGTCATCGTTGGCGTACGACTGCCAGCCGCAGCCTCGCGGCTTGTAGCCACCGCACTTGCCGAGGGGCCGAGCTCCCCGCGTGTCGAGCTCGCTTGGAGCCGTCGAAAAGACGATCCTCGGCGAG